TATTTTCTCTTTGACAAGGCATGTTGAACCTATGTATCAAGACGACTTGTCCCGAAATGTTGACCTGCATTTCCTTGTTTTCCGGTTGCCAGTGAGGCAACATGGCAAACCCCTAAGGCGGGCTGGTGCGTGACTACTCAGCGGGAAGTGGCTATTGCCCAGTGTATCCCGCTGAGAACGTGGACGTGAGTCTGCAGAACGGGTCCACACAGATGGTCTTGGCCAGATCTGATCACTGCAACTTGCCCGAGAAATCATTGTTATGCGCACCGGAATCTGTGTCTTCACCTAGTGCCAACTCGGGTTTGGACCGACGAGTTCTCTTACGGGGATGCATGAATTCGTGGAAATTGGCTGCTGGTGACATGTCTCTGCGCGAAATGCCATGCCTATGGCCTCAGAGCTTCACAAAACCGGGCTGCAAGAACCGGCCGGTTTAGGCGTATCTTGCTGGATGACTCGTTGGCAGTTGCTTCTCCCGAAAGACACCCTTGGTACGCAAGGCGTGCCAGACGGGAGGGGGGTTGGGGTGGAGGCAGTAAGGGAAGTGCTTTGGGACTGAGTTGTTGTTTCTTTTCGCCCCTTCTCTCGGGCACTTGGGTTGGTTCCTAAGGCTCATGCGCCTTTGGGACAGAGGAAGTCCTGCCTGGAGTCCAAACAAAGCAAAAGTCTTCCAGCGGACTCTTTCGCTCCAGGTGAATGGAGGGGTCACAAGTGAAAATCGGGGAGTTCTCCTGGTGAACATTCCAAAAACGGAATTTCCTACAGAAGAAGGCAGGCCCATTTTGGGAGCGGCTGCAGACTTTGCCGCAGCGCTTTGTTCGCTGCCCAGGCATGGCGCTGGGCGGAAACGGGTCGCACATGTTCCTTTGCCCCCCGCGCGCGCCCATTGCGATCATCATGAATCCGAAGGCGGGAAACCAAAAACGTGCCGTGGTGGCAAAGCAATCCACGGATTCAGACCTGTCTTAGTGGCTCCCAGCCATCCACTTTTCTTTTATTTAAGGATTTGGGGTTTACTGGTATTTTCCATTTAACCCACTCATTGAAAGTTAATTTCTCAGCAGGGATCGCTGTTCATTCCTTTCGGAACCAACCAAGCAAGCAAGGAAGCAAGCCGGCAAGCCGGCCAAGCAAGCAAGCAAGCACGCAAGCAAGCAAAGCAGCCAGCAAACAAGCAAGCCATCCAGCACCTTAAACCCACCAACACGATCCCTAAACACGCCCCAGTACAGGGGAGGGCGCTTGCTGGCACCCTCCCATAATTTTGCGCCACTCTCGTACAAGAGCCCTTTCAGGCATCCAAGTGAGCAAAACATGTGTATGTTTGTAAGCTATTCCCTGCTCTTGTGAAAACCCAAGCAAGAACCACAATTTTATTCAGAGGGGCCCCTTAACCCGTTTGACACGTCACGATCCACCATCCACCCCCTGTCGAAGGGCCCATAGCCCCTTGCACATGGTTTGCCCAGGTGCCCATACAAAATGGTTACTCCCCTAGCACGTCGGCGGCCATGTGGCTCCAGTTGCTGACGTCTTTGCGCCGACCGCGCGCACTGGTCAGACACTTTCGGAGCAATCTCGCAAAGAAGCTGGGCTGCAGTCATGCATCGTTTGATTGCGTGTGTTTCAAAGCCAAACGTTTAAGCCTCTATATGTGGGCGGGGGGACCTCCAAACAAGGTTGTTCCTGTGGTGCTCCAGTAAGCAAACATCACCCAGGATTCCCTTCAAACACGGGCACATCCGAGTGTTGGACGATTCGAGCCACTGTCCTCAGGTTTCAGCCAGTTTGACTTTCGCCGGAAGCCAACACGCAATATTATTTGGACACAATGATCTTTGTGAAGATGAGATGGTTGGACATAGTTTGGGGGACAGTTTTGGCTTACCGCCGTATGCCCTTCCCAGGAAAAGTGTCTGACCTGAAACAACAACCCAACACGCTCAAATCATTTGATTCCTGTTGGTAAATGGGTGTGTCTTGTTAGTAGGGGACCCCCAAACGGATTTCGGTGTTCCGTTTGTTGTTTGTGTGAACCAACCCGAAAAGGGGCTTCCCAAGAACAAGATAACCTGCACATGGTCCGGTCGAACCGTCAGGGGGGAGCTTGGCATTTCAGAGCACTGGCTCTTCGGCGCGGAGGGCATCGGGGGGAGAAAGCGGCTGCGGCGCAAGCAACGCCGCTCGGCCGCTCACTTCAGCGGCTCGGGTACGGTGGATGGTTTCGGAATCCGTTCGCACCAAGAGAAAACCATGGTTGAAGCCAGTGCGCGTTGGTATTTGCAGGGGAATCCGATCAATCCAGGGTTTCTTTGGCGCAGGATTTCCTCAGTTTGACCGGAAGGTTCTTGATTTCAAAAATCCCACCAGGCCCCCAAGTTCTGACTTTGGCTAAACCACTGCGGTCTGTGTGTTTCTGAGGCCCTTTCACCTTGAAAAAGGAAGTGAGCTTACAGTGAAGCGAAGAGCTCTGCGCTCGGCGGGCCATGTCAGCTTGCTGCCGTATAGGATTTTGCTTTTTGGGCCGCCAAGATTGACACAAACCCAGGGTAAACAATGCACATACCTGAAATCTATTTCTCCCTTGGATTCTTGGAAGGCCCTTGGTTCCCCCAAAAGGGGGAAACCTCTTGTTGTTCAGTCATCCTGGCAGGTAACAAAGGCTTGTTTCATATGCCGCGTATGACAAGATCTCCTCAGTTGTTCAGCGACACCAAGCTTCCGTTTTTTGTTTGGTTCCACTAAAAAGCGGCCAACCCCAAAACGTGTTGGCTTTCCTTCTACAAACGTGTCAACCCAAAGTCAGGGCCCACTCTACTAAGCTCACCGGTCGCAACTGGGTCCATAAACTGCCTCTCCGAGCGAGGTGCCGCATTACAGCAGCGGATGCTCTTTGAGGCGACGCTGAAGCGGTTGTTTTTTGTGTTCAAGGGCCTCGCTGGATTTCAGGTAAATTTTGGTTGGTGTGGATTTGAAGCCCTGGTTCTTGTAGAGGGCAAAAGGGAAACCCCTCCTTAGCCGCCAAGCCACCACTTGGGGGAAAGCTGACTGGGGTCTCTTGATTTGGGTGTTACTCAAAAAAATGGGGCCATCCCGGAAGGAGGGCAAGAGAAGCACCCAACGCAAGAGGAAAGTTACTTCAGGGGTTTGCATCTTGTTTGACAGTAGTTTGACCTTCGACCTGTACCTGTGTGGAAAGGTGAGAGGGTCCCTGCTGACCAGGCCAAAACTTGTCGCAGCTCTGATGCGCGCGTCTAAGGCAAACGGACCTTTTGAGCAGTCCACTGGTGAACAATGGGAACGCAAAAGCTTTCATACAAAGACTCATGGAATCAAGTGAGACAACGTGAGATAGTCACGGCCTACTTTGCGTGTGCTGGCCTCAAAGGTGCTCATTGACGGCTCGACCATGAGAGTTGCAGAGTATGCCTCCAAGATTCTTAGCTTTACATTTCCGGGGTGCGAATCGCGCGGGTTGATGCTGTACATTTGCTGGCTAAACATTGGGGTGTTTGTTTTCAAAGTTAAGGTACCCCCCAAATAAATGGTGGTTTCCTTTTTTACACCACAAAAAAAGGCACCCTCAAAAACAACACCCGCATCAGCTTGGTCGCTTGCACTGGTGGGTTGCGGCTTACATGCTGTTGTTGAAACTCGGGTTTGGGCGCCTGCAAGCATGAGTGAGCCATCCCGGTCACAGCCCACGCGGTCAGCTGAAGCCACGGATCATATAGATCAACTTGCTGGTGTTTCAGGTTTGCTGGGCGCCGTGTGTGCCATGGTCAGAAGACCGGTACTTGGGGTTACGTTGGGATGGTCCACCTAGGGATCCTCAACCATGCTGATTCCTAAGGGAACCATGGCCACAGGCCATAGGAGTGATCAGCATTGCGCATGACATAGGCTTTACTTCACAGCGCCAACAACCGGCTAGCTGGACAGGTTGATCTGGGGGTGCTTTTTGTTGGGACCCCAAACATAGTGGTTTGTTCCGTTCTACAGGTTTGAAGGCCCCCTATCCACTCCCAGGATCTTATTGCCCCCAGGCTGGTGCATTCCTTGCACGCACGCCTCTGGGCGCTTGCCAGTAATGGTGAGAAATCCCTTCCGGCGAGTACAGTGCCTCAGCAAAATGAGTCCAGTGAGAGCCTGTGGGACATGCTGCGGTTTTTGACGGAATCCGTTCGCAACACCTGTGAAAGAATGGAAGCCATTGCATTTGGTATTTATAGGGGGAATGAGCAGACACCAGGGTTTCTTGGCTGGTGCGAACTGGATTTCGTCCGTTCGCGGTACCTCTCGGTCTTGCCCGAAACTTGTCCACGTGTGCTTGTTGCCTTTGTTGTGTGGCGACTAGGGCATGAGCAAGCATTTTGCATCATTACCGTTTCATACCCTTGCCTCTAGAATCAGCCGGTGAGTTTAATCAGGCCATACCTCTTGTTTAACTTGAGCTGGGAAGCCCCTCTTCAACTCTTCTGATAGTGCTGGCAGACTTTCCCAATGAAAGTTGAGATGGAACGGGGAGTGCCAATTAATCACACCCCTTCCATCCCGCATGGAACGGTCGGGGTGTAGCCCCGATAAAGGACCCTTCCGAAATTGTGGATATATCGGCTTATATGGGGGAGTATCGGAAAAACTAAGAAGGGTCGGCCTTTCGCCTTTGGCCCAGTTGGGGGTGGAGATGCCAGGCAATTGGGCGCTTTTTCTTGTGCTGTGTGTTGTTGGATGTTCATTGACCAGCTGAAAGCTTGTCGTTTGTTTATGCCCCATGCGGCTTGAAGTGATGCCATGGTTATGGTTGGAGGTGAGTCATAGTGAGTCTTTGTTGGAAAGGGCTGGAGTGCCAACCCCATTCTCCCAAGAATGGGCCCGGTTTGATTGCTCCAGGTCTTGGTTCAGACACAAGTGGCTGGCGAACAAGGGCAAGGAGCCCTACGCCACTTGGGCGGGCTTTCTACCTTTCCTGCGCTACATGTGGGAGCACAGAAGTGATGCCAATGAGCCGACTCTTGGAAGCAAATGCGATCCCAGCCCCCTCAATGTATGGAAAGGAGGGTTGTACTTGAGAGGAACAAGACTATGGGTGCAAGGAAAATATGTATAGATACATCATGCCGTGTGCCTCGTGCCACCTGCAGGGTCAAGAGTTGCATGGATATGCGTTTCAATGGGGAACCTAGCTCCAAGGCGATTGTTCAATGTAAATCTCCATGAAAATGATGTCCACCAGAGGCCCCAAGCCACAATCATACCTACATGTATCGCGCCTCCTATCTGATCCTTGGCGTACCTCAGGGTAAGAGCCCCATGTCTAGATACATTATTGGTGGTCAGTTCGCCCATGGGAGGAGGCTCCACCCCCAACATGAGTTCCATGAAGTGACGCCCGACCCCTCTTCGTTAACTGTAAGTAGTTGGCTCAACACTCTGAACAATGGAAAGCGCAAAAGCGGAGTAATGACTTGTTGCGTCTCCAGAGGGACAGGCTTGTGGACTGCTGGCGAGGAACGTTGAAGAGGCCCTTCAACATGCTGGACGCTGCTAGACCGAGCCGTCAGGGACCCCCTCCAATGAAGGCTGCAACAACGGGTCCGATCCCCAACAAGTTCGCCATGCGGTTGGGTTCCACGTGAATCCGCGCAATGAGTGATTTGTGTCAGAAGTTCTCTTTTTGGCTTTTCGTTGGGATTTGGAGAAGCATCACCTTGTGAACCGAGTCAATAGGGCCTTCTGCATGGAGTGCAAGGGGTGGGAGCTTTGCATCGGGAAGCCGGCACGCAGAGCTTTCAATGTGTCGCATTTTTCGAGCCGGCGACCCATTCAAACCCATTGGTGCTCTCGGGGGTTTGGGATTGGGATTTGTAGGCTCTTGGGCCATTGCCCGGAGTTTCCAGTGGCTTCCCGAGTGGCTCAGATGCACGGGGTACCCAGCCTGAGGTGGCCCATACCATGTCCTTCCGCGACATCCTGGAGGAGTGGACTCGCCCAACCACGCCTCGGCTTTGAGCTTTGCTGTCTTGGGCATTGCTACAACTCGGCTTCGTTTTCAATTGAGCAAGTTGGTGATTCCGTCCACTAACCTCGAACCCACCAGAGACTCCCTAGAAGAAAGTTGTCTTCCAGACCCCTTCTCGCTCCGAACCACTCTTTCGCGAGAAAAGACCCTGTCCCCAAAGGTGCTTTCCAGCACCCCCAAACCATTTCCGGGGCAAGGTGAGGGAATTTACACGTTACACAGCCACCATAGCTGTGCATCCGATGAAATTGCTGAGGGTTGCTCGAGGGTAGAAACCATCTTAAGCCTGGTTCTTTGCAAAGGCGGTCTGAATCATTACCTTGGGTCACGAAAGGAGTCCTCTTCGTGGCCGTCCAATAGGGATGGATTGGGATTGGCCAAGACTCCATTTGGGTATGGGTCAAAATCAAATAAAGCACCAGGAATTGGACCGCAGGTTTTAGTCAATGTTTCAATTATCAGGGCAAGCCATGTTCGGGTTACCCTATTTTTGACCCACACCCATTTGATTCATCTCGTTGATCAACTTGGAATCGGAGATGGACAACTTTCAGCCAGTGGAAGCATATGTGTTGCAACTGTCCCAAGCTTCCACGCCTCCACGCATGTCAAAGCCATTTGGCTGTGGGTCAAAGCAAATGGTACCATCTTGAGGGTAGGTGAATTCACCACCCATCTTAGAACCTATTTTAGTGGTTGGATTGAATCGGATGTTCATTGGGGGTCCGATTTGGATTTTGGCCCATGGCCATTGGAGCCGCCGCCTGCCTCGAGGACCCCAGATGGCCCCAAGAGGCCGCCGCCCGGCTGCGTGCCCGGCGCATCTTCCCGCTGCGATTGGAGGTGATGAGCTCGGACTTCGCCGAGCTCCGGCAAGCGCGAGCCCAGGTCAAAGAGTGATAGGAACTGAGGTACACTCCCTTCCAGAATCTTAGGACTACAACCAGCTTCTTCATTTTGGGGGGGGAATCCAGGTTAGCAGAAGCTTTTTGCCTTTTGCTTTGGTGTCCTTTGCTTTTCCCTGGCCAATTATTTTGCCAGAGTTTTTGGAGCAACCCCCTCTTGTGGATATGCTTTTTGAGGGCAACGCCATTTGGGACCAGCGGAAACCAGTTCGGTGTCCCGTGAGACGAGCCATGGTGAACAGATCGATCGGTCCAGGGCAGGCCCGCGGGAGCCCACCGCTGTGAGGTGTGGCATGGTCTTTAGGTTACCGATCGATCTGCGGGTGTCAACGTCAAAAGTTCCGCCCCTGGGCCTAGTTGAAGACGTGAAAAGCCAAGGATGGGGCAAGGCTTACAGAAAAAGTCGGGATGTGAAGAAGCATCTTTTCTTTTGGTTTGCCCAATCGACCACAAGCGACCCTCAAGTTTCAACCCTGCACTGCCCTCTTTTTTTTGTAGATGGTCAACCTTTGGCTTCCGTGTCGCTTGTTTGTGTGCGTGTTTGTGTGTTTTGTGTCTCTGTGTGTTTGTGTGTGTCCCTATGTCTGCGTCTCTCTGCGTGAGTGTCTTCGTTTGTTTTGTTTGTTTGTTGGTTTTCTGCATGTGGCCTGGATGTTAGCGTCAGGCTGGGAGAGGAACACAGAAACAAGTGAAAGGATTGACGGGATCACTCCGGCACAATTTGGAGGTCGTTTTGTAGTGGTCCTCTACTGGTTGCTTGCGGAAGGACTGTTTGAGTTATTCTTTGTGCTTGGGCGAGGATAGATGGCGCAATTGCCTTCTTGCGGGTAGGCAAAGGTGATGGCAGAAACATGGGCGATGCATGGCGATGCCATTTGGTGTCACCTGAGTGCATGTCCCAGGGGTGCTGCAGTGCTCTTGTTGCCACACTTTTCTGCCTATTTCATGGTGAGCTCACTGGCATGAGCTCACGATGATGAAGGTTTTACGTGGGTTCCTACTTCATGTGTTGGATTTGTACAGACCCTGGGGGGTAAAAGGCTTTTAAAACAAAGGCCGTTACATGAACATCCTTTGTTTGACTAGCTGGGGGATGGGGGCCTGGGTGGAATTCCAACTTTGCATCGTCAGCAACAAGCCTTTTCCACACCAAGCTAGACTTGCGAAGGCCTCGTCGTTAAAGCATCACATTTCTGCATCATCAATGGAACAATCATGGTCTTCCCGAAACATCCATTCAGCAAAACCTTTTCAAACCCAGCAGAAAACAACGCCAGCCAGGACGAATGCGAGTGGTTCTTCGCCTGCCAATTTTCACGGCGTTTCACGGTCTTTCACTGCAAAAAAAGGGCGTTCACGCCAATTTCACGGTATTTTCACGCTTTTCCCTTGTCGATTTCCCATTGCTAAGCCCATGATCAATGTCTCTAGAAATCCCACAAAGTTGAAGACCTTGAGCATTGACCAGCTTCAACATGTCTACATGGTTTTCGCGAGGCTTTGGAAAGCGTACTTTTCAGCCACAAGCACTGCAAAGCCATGTGGCTACTTATGCGGCCAACACAAAACTGTCAACCCAAGTAAAAGCGTCCAGCTTTCAAACAAAGGGCGTTCCCCACATTTCACGGCCGCTTCCTAAAGGCCTTTCTTTTTAAGGCCCCCGAACCCCAGGGCAGACACTTCCCTGGTTTGAACATCACCTTCGCTCGGGTTTTGGGATTGCTTGAACGTTTGCAGGAATCAGTGATGCGCCTTCTGATTCTGTGTCTCAGGAACTGCGGCGAATTCTCTGCCAGCGCCTGGGCTTCTGCAAAGGGCTCCCTGCGATTCCCCACGTGGTGCCCCGGGGGTTTCGGGCCTACCTGGCGGCTAAGCCGCCCTCCATGCAGGAGCCAGTGCAGGAGCCAGTGCAGGTGGGAAGGGGAAGGAAAGGACCCGCACGGTGCACATTGTTTTTGCAAGGGAGTGTGTCTTTTTGGAGGGTACCCCCTCTTCCATGGGTGTAAGCTAAAACTAGACAAGCAAAACCACAGTTCTGGGTGGTCCCCAGAATCTGACAGCAATTTCCGGATTCTTTTGTTGGCGTTCTTTGCTGGCAAACTTGCCTTTCCAGGTTCTTTGGGCAAAAAGTGATGTTTCTGGGGTGGGCAACAACACCGGGGGTGAAGACACGCCTCTCCCCCGGGCGGCAACCGAAAGAACATGTAAACTGCCAAAGTGCACTTCCTGTCCCTAGATCCCGAGCCTGCACCGGAAGCCGGTGTTCTTGCCCGCTTTTCGGAATGTTTCCCCGCATGGATTTGATGGAAAGGCATGCACTTAGTTCAAACCAGCAACTGGCGATTTTTTGGGTGGTGTGCTGTAAGCGCACGCAGTCACGAAGTGCCTTTTGAGACGCCAATTTCCCGGCTACAAGTGTATCTAAGTTGCGTCTATTAGCCAATCATCTCGTGGAATAGTGGCTTTTGGCGAGCGCTGAACTTGGCGCATGTTTTGTCTCCATGGCTCCAAAGATGTGACAGAACTCATTCGGCCATCTTGCCCCCATTCCAAAATAGTTTGTGAAGTTCAGATGGGGCAGCGCCCGTGGGCCCAGAGCTTTTCATGCTCCTTTGCACGCTGTGCGAGCGTGCTTGGCAAGACTTCAACTGTGTGCGTGTATGTTTTTTGTGCCTTTTCCTTCGTTTTTTCGCATGACAAACTGCCCGTATTTGCACACACAAACAGACCTGGGGCTGGGTTTCGCCCGTCGAAATCAAACATCAGAAGGGGGTGACACATGTTTGTTGGGGTGTTGAACCATTTTTGGAAGATTTGGAGTTTCGACAAATGATATGTCATTGGGCTCTAACAAGTTACTTCATTCAGTTGATCCTAAACGAAAGACCTCACACTTCAACGTCTTGGAATCGGGGCGTCAAATCTCGGGGTCTTCAGAAAGACTTCAAATATATCGCAGTTCAAGAGTTGCGACTCTCCAGCTGGAGCTGCCCAACGCTACTTTCTTTTTACACCTGTGCTGAAAAGTTGTGACTTTTGAGCCGGAGCTGCCAAAGAGCATTCCTCGATCTTCTAAATCATGGCGAGTTAACGTAAAACCCAAAGACCGCCTGAGGGGCCTCAGTGAAAAAAACACGGAGTTTTCAAACTCCTACTTCTTGAGGTAAAGCTGCTAAAATTGACTGTCGCTTCTGAAATTGCTTGCGCACCTGAAACCCCCAAAAATCGTATTTTTTCGGACTTTCGCTTTATTCAGAATTTGAACTATTCGAAATATGAGCCTTTGGGTGACAAATTGGCAAGACGATTGAAAACAGCACACCTGAAACTCAGCGAAAAAAACACCTGCAAAATTCACAGGCTCCCGCAACAACCCGCAAACTTGCGCAAAAACCCGCAAACTCCCGCAAAGCCAAAAGAGACGGAGTTTCCTGAGAGTGCATTTTCAGCCCAAAAAGCAGTGGAATACCCACTCGAGAGCACAGAGTTGAGTATTTGATGGGATGGTGTACGGAGTTGACTAATTGGGGGACAAACAGCGAAAAACACAACTGGACTTGTTTCCAATAATTGTTTCCCCCAAAAACCACTCCTAGTTTTTGATTCCGCTCCTGCCTTTCGCAAGCCACTCCTGCTTTTTGATCCACCATGCGAAACTCTTAGTTTTCAGAGGGTCTTATGGAAATAACCCAGTTCTCCTGCCAAAGCGTACTTCCTTCACTACGTACTGAAAAGTTGCGACTTCCGAGCAGGAGCTGCCAAAGTGTACTTGCTTTAACACTTGCACTGAAACGTTGCGAGTTCCGAGCCGAAGCTGCCAAAGCGTACTTCCTTCGCTGCACTTGTGCTGCTTTCGAGCCAGAGCTGGCAGAGTTTTTTTCTTTACTACACGTGTTCTGGAAAGTTGCGATTTGCGAGGCGGAGCTGCCAAAGTGTGCTTCTACTACACTTGTATTGAATTGTCGCGACTTCCAAGCCGAATCTGCCAAAGTGTGCTTCTACTACGCTTGTACTGAAAAGTTGCGACTTCTGAGCCGAATCTGCCAAAGTGTGCATTCTTGTACTACACTTGCACTTGCAACTTTCGAGCGGGAGCTGCCAAAGTGTTTTTCCTTCACCTACACTTGTACTGAGGAGTTGCGGCTTGCAAGCTGGCAAACTGTACTTCGTACTCTTAAACTGTGAACGGGTAAAATGCAAAAATCCTGTACAACGATAGGGTTACACAAAAACGATGCCTTTGGCAACACGAGAGGTTTTGCCAAGTTGCTCAAACCATCTTCCGCCAAACCTCTATGGTCTCACTTCACTTCGCTTAAGACTGCCCGCGACTGCAATACAATCAGCCCGCCAAGTATGGAAGTGCGCGCGCCCCAACTTTCGCCTGTGAGCGTATACAAGTACAGGTGCGCTCCTTTCAGTTACAGGTGCGTCCTTTCAGTTTGGTGAGGGTGGGGAAAATTGGCAGCCCTCTTCCGAAAACATCTTATGAGTTAGCTGCTAGGCATTTTGATTGATCTTACTGGCGACATGGGATTAGTAAAGCCCCCCCCCTCCCCCTGACAAAGAAGCACCCAGATTAGCACCGCGAGGGCCAGTTCGATTCTTTGGTATTGTTCAAGCTTGCTTTTGAGAGTTGATTTAAGTGCCCATTTAATTTGGTATTGGTGGACGTCAGCTACCAATGGAGTTGGTGTTGCTGGAGCTTATTTTTCAGAGTTGGCGGTTGAAAATTGGCATTGGTGGCCTTGAGTTTTCTTTTAATTTATTGCTGAAGCACGTCCAAATCCCACCTTGCAAACTGAGTTGGGGCCCTGAGAAGACTACTCCAGGGATCATATGCAGAAACATATGGTGGATGGAACTTCCAAGTATAGATTCAGTCGAAAGTTCCAACTCCTACACGCCCGGATCCTGACAGGTAGGCAAAATCCCCAGGAACCAGGGTTTTCTTCCGTTTCATTGGTTCCATGTAGCTGTGTTTTGGGTGGGTTCCGATCCGCCCGTAGGAGCTTTGGAGCTCGGAGGCCTTGGAGATTATGCGGCCCGGTCAGGGATGGTTCGACATCCTAAACTGGGCCCTTGGCTACATGGTCCCCTAAAATGGTGTCACTTTAAATTGGCATACCCCAAAGGCCTCACAGGAATGGCAACTTCCTTGAACCAAATTGTCCCGAATCCATTTTGAGAAACACTCGCTTAGGTACCAGGGGGCTAGAGCCAGCTTCTGTGGTACCTGGTTAATTTCCCATCATGGACCCCCCCGTGCGGGGCAAGAAGATGTTCCAATCCCTCCTAGGACCCTCCCCTTTCGATTTGTTCGCCCCTTGCAAACGTGTTCCGGAGTTACCCTTGAAAAGCTCGGCTTGTAAAAGCGAGTTGCGGGGTTTAGAAACGCACAGGGGGAGTTCCGGTTCACCATCAGTTTGACGGTGGCGTTGTGTGTCACGGTCATTTAGGTTGGACCTAGCAAAAAACAGAAGACATTAAAGTGTCGCTATTTCAGGGTCAGACTGTAGCATAGGATCAACGAAAGTAACGATTGTCACACGGCTCTCTTTCTTCCGAAGAAAATTCACACTTAGGCTTCCTTCTTGCCTTCGCTCCACTTTTTTGTGGTAACCTAAAAGGTGATCAAGTATCCAATATTGCCGCCCCCTTTCATTGCAAGCGACTAAGTGGCCTGGCTGTGACATGTTCTGACTTTGCTGGAGGCCGGCCTGACCATGTTAGCACAGCGGCAGTTTTTGCACGGCAGAAGCTTCGACTCCCAGATCGCATCGAATTGAACCACCAACATTTTGTTCGGTGGGTTTGCTCACCAGTTCGAACCTATACGCTTGAGTTCCCTGAGCCAGCATCACGCACAAATGACATATAACCAGCCGTTGCATCGGCAATCCACCAAAGTCCCTGAAATGGTTGACAACGGAGACAACAAAAAGACAGAGGAAAACAGAAAGAAGTAGCGGGAAAAAAAGGCTAGAAAGAAGAACATACAGGAAGAAAGAACGAAATGACGCACGCAAGCAAGCAAGCAAGGAAGGAAGGAAGGAAGGAAGGGAGGAAGGAAGGAAGGGAGGGGGGAGGAAGGGAGGGGGGAGGAAGGGAAGGAAACTAATAGAGAAAGAAAGAAAGACCTAACAACATGCACAAAAAAAGAAAGAAATGAAAATGAAACAAATATGAGAAATGAACGAAGTATATGAAACCATGCAAGCATATATATATATAGAGAGAGAGAGAGACAAGGAAGCAACCGAGCGTGCAAACAACAAAATGCAAAAAAAACAACAAGACGCAAACACACAAATACACAAACACACATCAAGGGCTTGAAGATGGAAGCAGAACAGGTGTTTGGTGATCCGTTCTCGGCTGCTTGGGGTCTTCGTTTTGTTTAGCCTCAGGTGGCGCATGTTCGACTCGGACTTTTCAGAGCTCGGCTACTCAAGGGACGCCCTGGTCGAGAAGCCCATCTCCTTGCCCACGCCATGGGCGACATGTGTTTATTGAGTCTGGGCTCGAAGGATGACATGACCAGAGGAATGAGAAATGCCCATTTGCAGGGTTCATCCATCCCACCAGCTACTCACCTTACGAGTAGTCAATTCCTCCATCCCGCTGTTTTCTTTTCACTGATTCACTCACAACAACTGCTTCAAGTTGTTGAAGTTAGTTTCGGACTAACTTGATTTCGGAGTAATTAGCGGGCTTGTGAGCTAACAGGGGTGAAGTCATCCTACTGTTGGCCTATGTTGGCCTGCATGGGTGCTTGCTCACAAGTTTGGCCACAAGAAGCTCAAGTTGATGGGTTGTTGGTTTGTTGATTTGCCCGGGCCGTTTCACCAAATGAGGATTTCTCAGACTTAACTTCTCAGACTTGCCGATTTGTTTAAGCTGCAGGCGACTGCAAGGATGTCACGCGCTCCCGCCAGATGCCAGCAGGGTTCACTATATCTCCCAGCATGGTGGTGTTACAACTCACCTTTTTGCAGCAAATCAACGCGAGTTGAAAGGCTCTTCTTGGATGCAGTATACTGACCTTTCAAAAACACAACCCTCAACCACGCTCAGAAATGAATAGGTCGCGGAGAGACTTAAGTTTTACCTTTTTCAAGATCGCGCTGATTGAGAGACATTGAGAGATTCGCTTGAGAGTTTGTGAGAGGTTCCAATTTTTTGATTCCCGCGCTCCAGGCCCGTGCCATTTCCAGAGTTGCCTTCCTGTGTTCTTTGCTTCCACGTGTTTGAACAAGTTTGTCTCACGTAGTACGGCACCCTCTAGCAGCAAATGCGCGCAAAGAAACTGATTTCTTGGCATCAAACTCAGCCACTTATACAGTGTTTGCCATCCGATATTTTCAACAACAGCACGCGCAGCGGCCAAGTTACAGCAAGAAGCTTCACTTGCTACCTGTACAAAAACATTTTCTGTGACCATTGTTGCAGTCTGCAAGCCAATGATTTTGAATACGGTTTCAGCTAATTACTGGTTTTGAATGCGGTTTGCATGTGAAATCACACGTCCGGCGTGCTAAATGCCCCGCGCATGCTGAATTAGTTGGATTTGGTATGAACATTGCGCGTGATTAAACCAAAAAAGTATTTTAGTACTAAATTATTGCGATGTTTTTTTAGACGCTTTGCAGCTTAGAGGATGTGTCAGAGAGTGCCAATATGTGCTTTGTGTCTTTTGGTCACTGCCTTTGACATCCGTTCGCAACGGTTTGTTGACCGCTCCTGGCCCCATGGCTCCAATGGCCGGTGGCTTTCCGTTAAAACCGCCCTATGTCGAAGCCTTCGGACCCCTGGGCTTGGGGAAGCTGAGTGCTTCAGGGAGTCCGCAGGTTCACTTTCAGACTTTCAGCAATTTCAGCACTTGAGTTGACCGGCGCTTGCTTCTCGGGCTCAAGTTGGGATGCTCATCGATCGCTCTTGGGGGGCGCTCGAGCAACGCCATGGAGTGGAGCTTTTCGATTGCATCCAGCGGGTCCGTGGCCATGTGGGTGGTGAAGGCTTCCGCCCTGCTGCTCTTTGAGCTTTGGCATGTGCAAAGGCTTTTTTTTGCGGGCATTAGTTGACAATCAGGATTATCTTCATGGTTTGGATTGGCGGTTTGTCGGGTTGAGCCCCTGGCTCTTGTAGAAGGTAACTGGGCAACCTCCGCTTAACCACCAAACAACCAATCCAAATCACAAATAGTTAAACGTTGTGTCAGCAGAATTCTTGGTTGGAGTCTGGCTGAAAGTGAATAGACAGAACATGACAAGTGCCAATGGGATGATTATCCTGTACGCCTGTAAGTCCTGTTTGTTTTGGCAACCAAGGCTTCCTTTTCCCTGGGTGAGCTTCTTTGGGGAAGGGATCTGGGGACCCCCTTTTTTTGGCGCAGCTTCAGACGGAGAAGCGTGCTGGATGCCCCGTGCGACTGATGGTTCTCAACCCCCGGCCCGCGATTGACTGAGGACACGCCGCCTAGCCACGAGGAGCTTGCAGAAAAAAGGGCTGCTGGCTCCAGGCGCGAGCTCCGTGAAAGAGTTGTGGAATCTTTTGGCACAGGCTCGGTTTGCGACGGCCATGAAGCTTCTCCGCGTTTTTCACACAAACACCAACATGCTTTGCTTCTGGCTGAGGTGAGCAGATTGGGACGGACATCATCTCAGAACTCTGGCTGCAAACTGTCCGACGCAGCGGAAAGCACCAATCCAAACTCAAGGAGGCGATGAGGCAGCAGGTGATCACCTTTGAGCCGTCCAGTTCCAGTGAAGGACACGAGTGCGTCTTTTTCTGATGGTACCTTTCTTGGGGTGAAACAAAGGTAAAAACACCAATTTTCAGGGTCCCGTATGTGAGACTGATTTAGTGTTTACTGCCCTGGTGATCACCTTTGTTTGCTAGTTGTTCAGCACCCTTCTAATCAAAGGAAGTTGAGAAGAAACTTCCGTGTTGCGGCAACTGAAAGAAGCCTTGCGTGTGGCGAGGCAAATGCGCAGGAACTGCAACCCTCTGGTTTCGGTGGGTGCTTTGGGATGCGCGAAAGTTAGCCTGATCGCGCCGCCTAGTCGGAGCGCGTTTGAGCGACCTCGGAGCGTGCGGAGCTCATTGGCGCGTGACCGCGCGCTTTGCGCAACATCGGGCGCAGCGCTGTCGCAAGGTCAGGTTCATATTTCGAGGCAGGCGCAGCGCTTTGACAAGGTCAGGCGCAGATCTCGTGGCAGGCGCGGCGCTTTGACAAGGCCAGGCGCAGATCTCGTGGCAGGCGCAGCACTTTCGCAAGGTCAAGTGCAGATTTCGTGGCAGGAGAATCATTGTTGCAAGGTCATGCGCGGATGTCACTTTCGCAAGGTGAGGCAGGTGCAGCACTTTCGCAAGGTCGAGCGATAGATAAGTAATAAGAGAGGGGGAGAGAGAGAGAGAGAGAGAGAGAGAGAGAGAGAGAGGGAGAGAGGGAGAGAGGGAGAGAGGGAGAGAGGGAGAGAGGGAGAGAGGGAGAGAGGGAGAGAGGGAGAGAGGGAGAGAGGGAGAGAGGGAGAGAGGGAGAGAGGGAGAGAGGGAGAGAGGGAGAGAGGGAGAGAGGGAGAGAGGGAGATAGGTCGATCCGGTAAATTGATAGATAGGTTTCCAGATAGAGAGAACTGAGGTAGATGGATAGACAGGTAGATCGGTTGGCAGATCGCGGGTAAGTAGGAGGTAGGTAGATAGATATGTAGACAGATATGCAGATAGATAGGTACATAGAGAAGAGCTTGATTGCAGGGGAAAGAATAGATAGATAGGGAGACAGACAAATAGAGAGATCGATATGTACATGGATAAAAAAGAACAGAAATAGGTACAGAAAGAAAGTGCAGAAATAAAGAACAGAAAGAAAAGAAGGAAGGCAAGAAAGGAAGAAAGAATAGAAGGAAGAAAGCAAGAAAGATGGAAACAAAAGAAGCATTAAAAACCAGAAATGAAAGAATGAGGAAGAGAAGCACCAAGAAGAACATACATAAGAAACAAACCTATAGCTTTTCCATTTTGGAAACTTCCGCCCACCAGCTTCGCCGGCTCGACTGGTATCCTTCTCTTCCGTGGGTTCCCCATGAAAGATGGAACTAACCTCCAGAAGCGGAGCCCTTGTCACCCGGGTCGCCGGGCTGCGTAGACTTGCTGTTGGAGAAGTCTTTGCCTACGAAACTTCCAGCACTGCGGCTTCCTGGCTCCAAATCATTCCGAGGAGTGGTCGACGACTCCCCTGGGTTTCGCTTGCTTTTTCGGCGCGGAGGAGCTCGTGGAGCTGCTGCTGGAGGCAAAAGCCGACTGTGAGCTGCGGAACGCTCGAGGGCGCACAGCGCTGCAGATGACGCAGTCCGCAGCGGTGCTGGATGTCCTTCACCGCCATCAGACCTCTTTCTCCGTTTGAGCGCCGAAACGAGCAGCGCGCGGATCGGTGTTTCGGATGTGTTGTAACCCGGGATCTGGTTGGCAGATGTTGGAATCTTTGACATTCATGACTCAGCGAACCGCGCGCTGCTCAAGTGCATGACTCGCAAATCGGAGCTCAGCGCAGAGTTTAGGAAGAATTGCTTCAAATGACCACACCTTAATTGTGGCAGCGTGGGTTGTCGAATCGCTCAGCACTTCAGATTCTTGAGGGATGCCCATGTGCATACCGTGCGCTGTGTGCCTTTTCAGTTACTTGATGCTGATGCTCGTCTGTTGGCTCAGCTTGCTGCAGCTGGCCTTTAGCCAAGCTAACCTCTGTCCCGTTAGAGCTCGGGGCAGGGCGACCACGGGCAGAATCAGGCAACGCCTGTCGCCCATCTCTCCCTTGTGAGCTTTCAACATCAGTTGGGTCGGACGCAAAGAGCCTTAAGTGGTGGGCGCTTTCTCTTACTTTTCAACGCAGCTGTGTTCGGGGATTGCGGCCTCTTATAAGCTAGCGATGCCGCACGAGCCCTTTTTGACCGACTTTGCCCATCCAAAGGGTGACTGACTTGCAGCCTGGGGCGGAGTTAAGACAATGTTTATGTTCTGGCGGTGAGTTAAATTCCCTCAGGGTCCAAAGGCCTTTCGAAGATAGGCCTCTGACAAGAGGCCTCAAAAAGGTCAAAAGGCTTCATTGAGTATCATGCCGAGTATATGTGCTGAGTAACCATGCCTTTTTGAGGCCTCCCCAGGGCCCCGTTTTGCTAAAAAGTCATCCTTGTAAAGCCGAAATGTGAATGCATCCACAACTATCATGCACCCTGCCTATGCAACAAATCGTTTGGGTTGATCACGTGTCTGTTTCCCTTTATTTATCGCTGCATCTTCAGAGAGCGGCTAAACCAGCGCAAGTTGGCAAAGAGAGCATGGATCAAGCTTCACCAAACGTCCACGCAGGCAAAAGTTTCCAGGATTTCAAATTCGGAGGGGCCCCAAACAAAACACGTCCCGGATCGTGTCAATTCAGGGGTACCCTCAAATATACCCCCTGTCCACGGGCAAACCATGACTTTTCGGGCCTTTCCACGGGCAATCCACGGGTTGTCCACGGCAACCACAAATGCAGTTATTTTTGAACAAATCGAATTCGATCCCAGGAGCCTGTGAAATCACACACACATAGTCTGAATTGCTACCTGCCAGGAGTGCCAAACACGTGCGTTGCCCCTGCATCAACACCTCCTAGCCAGGCTGTAGGGCTAGCTGCCAGGGGCGATCTCCAGTGGCTGGATCCCCTCTAGCACCCTTCGAGAAAAAAAAAGTGGCCCCAAGGATAGTCAAGATTGCCACACATACTTTTCAAGGCCTAGGCTTGAAAAGGAACATGCTATTTAAGGCCGAAGGCCTCACCTAGCAAGGCCTAAGGCCTTACTTAGCAAGGTTCTGGAGCCTCCAAAAGTAGGCCTCTCCAACAGAACAAGGCCTAGGCCTCACCAAGAGTTGCCTTGGACGCTTAGGGAAATGTCATAAACAACAAAACTTACAACTCGAACAAGGCATAGCTTGAATCATGGATGCAGATGTGCGTACAATTGGGAAGATCCCCAGCTCTGTTTGCGCAATTGTCTCGCTCAAGATGAGGTGCATATGAAAAACCGGGTTTCTGGAAGAGGGAGGGGAACGGCCGGATTTGAGGATAGCGGACGGTGGCCTGTTAATCGCTAGAAGTGTCACCTAGTGTTAGTTTAAGTACCTAGACGGGCCATCTCCGGCTAGCAGTGCGGAACGGCGCTTCTGGAAGCACTGGGCTGTAGTGGCGGAGCAAGCTCTACTTCGCTCCCTGCCAAATGCTGGCGATGAAGGGAGATCCTGTTCCTCCCTTTTGTCCGCTTCCGCTTCCCCACGCAACAGCAACCCAGCCGGCACTGCCGCTTCAATCATCAAATTTGTTTTGCTCTTCCAATTGCCGACTTTCTTGTACTATGGAAATTAGCCAGTTCAACCAGTATGTCCGAGCGATTCGCGAGCGATTTGGAGGCAAGAAAACGGAGAGCCTTCTGCGCGAACTAGTTCTGCTTGCACGTCCTAGCGCTCCTCTCCCAGGAAAGGCGACAAAAAGCCAAATTTGGTGGAGTGCGTTTGGCAGCCAAGTCTTCTGGGGGTGGCTATCTGTGCATCTCACATCTTTATGGTTTGCTACGTTGGCGGGGGAGGGATTCCGAAGCTTCGTTTTCACGTTGTAGCGACTCAGTTCGGCTCAAGTTGATGGGATGATTGATCGCTTTGCGTTTGGAGCCCACGGCATGGAGCGGAGCTTCTCGAGTGCCCCCATCGAGTCCGTGTCCGTGCCCATGTGGGTGGTGAAGGCTTCCACCCTGCTGCTCTTTGAGCTTTGGCATATGCAACGCTCCTTTTTTCGGGCATTGTTTGACGATCAGGCAACCCTTGGTGGTTTAGATTGGTGGTTTGTCGGTTTGAACCCCTGTGCAGGGTAAATGGGCAACCCCCGCTTCACCAAACAACCAAACAACCAATCCAAACCACAAGTTAGTAATCTGACAAGACAGGCTTGAACCCAGGCTCGTGTCAGCAGAAACCCTCGTTGAAGTCTGGCTGGAATTGAGTAGACAAAACATGACAAATACCAATGGAATTGCGAGTCAGCGGTTTTAATATTTTTTGGCCACCAAGGTTTCCCTGGCCCTAGATGAGCTTCTTTAGGGAAGGGAGCTAGGGACCCCCCTGTTCTGCGAAGCTTCATCAGAAGCATGCTGGACACCCAGCCTTGTTGGTTTTGCGCGGCGATGGTTCTCAGAGCTTTTGTCCCACGCCCAAAGGTTCCGACTTTCGGCTGGCCCTTGCGCCTGAGGACACAATGCCTTGCCACGAGGAGCTTGCGGAAAAAGGATTGCTGGTCCGGCTCCAGGCGCGAACTCCAGGGACTTGTTCATCGGTTCGGTTTGCCGCCATGAAGCTTTTCCTTGATTGAAATGCTGCGTCTTTGTTCAGGTGAGCTATGTTCATCCAGGGTTGGCGGGTTGACCCAAATGATGTTGGAAGACTGTCCGTGCGGTCTCGCTTTCCAAATGGAGCTGACAGACTCCCACTGAGGGAGTGTGTTCCATCTGAAGCTGCTGCAGCTGCATAAGCCTCGCAATATGGTCTTGACTGCCCGTGTAAGCTCCGCCAGGAAGGCATTTTCTGCATCTTCGTGTCCCACCAATGGCTGGGTACCTTTCATCCAGACCCAACGGGCGAGCAGCTGCGAGTGCTGCAGGATACCTTGCGGAACCTTATGAGAGGCGAACGGGGTTCGAATTTAGGCACTCCGGGGACCTTTTGTTCCCCCTGCACTCGCGGGGTCCGGGGCTGCGAGTGTGAGGAACTTAGATGACTTCCAAGTCTAGGCTTTTCGGTTCTGGCTTGCAGTTTTGCTGACGATGTTGGAAGCCGCCTGCAATGTATAACAAGTATCCCGCTGGCCGGAAGCAGGCCTAATATCTCCGAGGTTCAGAAGAGCGTTGTCGTTTTGGCCCTCTAACGGGAATGTCTTAAATAACGGATGCCACTAAACTGTGGTGTTGCTTTTAGAGTTTCTTTAAAACAGCCCAAGCTGGTGTTTTTCACACCAACACCAACATGTGTTTCTTCTAGCTGAGGTGAGCAGATTGGGACGGACATCACCTTAGAGTTCTGGCTGCAAAGCGTCCGACTCAGCGAAATGCACCGATCCAAACTCAAGGAGCAGATGAGGCAGCAGATGTCAGTTAAGATATTTTTGGGTAAGGGTTTGTTTGTCTTTTTGTTGTCTGATGGTGCCCTTTTGGGGTGGTTTTCAAGGCGTATAAAAATAAAACCACTAATATTCCGGGCCCCCCCATCTTGAGACAAGCAACTGTCTTACAATTTCAGTATAGTCTGATTTAGTGTGTAGTGCTTGGCCTTGCTGATCACCTTTGTTCGTTAGTTGTTCAGCACCCTTGTGATATCCTTTTCTGTCGTGGGTTCCCCATTAAAGATGGAATTGACCATCAAAAGCGGAGCCCTTGTTTCATCCAAGTCGGGCTGGATGACCACAATCGCTGTTGGAGAAGTCCTTGCCAAATGCAGAGAGCCATTCCAGAACGTTTGTCGGCGCAGGACGCCTACATATGGCTGGATTGGCTCAGCATTCCTCAGCAGGATGCAGGGCGTGGCAACCGCAACCCAGCGGACGAGCTAGGGCAAGTTGTAGAGAGCACACCCTCTACCTCGGTGGGGTCTGTCGAGGGGCCTGCTGGTCAGGACCGCGCATTCTTTCCGGCGTTTGCGCGTACAGTAAGTGCCTTTTTCAATTCACAGTTTTTTCTTAAGTAGTCGCGTTGACCGTTAGACCAGCGCAAAGAGACTAGGTAGTGGCCCGGACAGTTGTGCCAAAAAGGTCGGGTGCAGGTGTTCGTCCCGCAATCAGGGTTCGGCCTTCGGTAAATGGATTGCAACACGGCACAGTGTTGGGTCGAAGATGTGAAAGCAATATTTACACACAGCCGGCTGCGCCTCATATCTTTAGATGAAAAGCCGCCCGTGTCGCAGCAAACGGGAATCGCCAAGTTGGTAGGGGAGCTGTAGGCTCCTTTCCTGGGCACACCCTATCCACGATGATGCTGGCACCGGTCCGGTGCCGAGTTCTACTTCAATGATCCGGTTGCTGACGAGCCAGTTTGACCAGGCCACGGTGCAGGAACCCCGCCCGGCGACCCCGACCTGGTCAACTCCTGCGCCGAGCTCAGCTGCCCGAAGCTACGCCATGGACAAGAAGTTGCACCTCGTGGCCATGGCAAGGAGGCGGCCCACCTGCGGCCCCCTATCATGGGCAGAAGGTCCTCAGCGGCCCAGAGGCGGGCCTTGGCACACACACACACACACCCTGACTATGCTGCTTTTCCAACGCAGCAGCCCTTCCAACATCAGCACAACCGCCAGCGAAAACAGCCCAATCGCTCCATCATGCAATTTGATCCTGGAAAAGACAAGGACAAGGGCTCGCCCCCCTACCGCCAGTCAATAGTCGCAGAAACCATCCTCAGCGAGACGGCTACAAGGGACGGCTACAACCACAACGAGACTTGCGGCGACATGCCGACCGATGAGCCTGAGAATGCAGACGCAACAACAAGTTCACCTGCCCAGATACGCCGATGCCTGCGCTTGTGGTTCTGAGGATTTTGATCCCCATCAGATGGCAGACGTCCACCGAGATTGCTCGCAAGCTCAGCGCGGCCCCCAACCCAGCACAATACAACAGCCTGGTAATGGTCTCAAGCTGCGCACGTTGACACGGCCCTGTCCACCCCAGAAGCCCAAACTTGGAGTCCAAATTCCCACCAGCCGGCCGAACCTCTGGCCGTGGCAGTGGTGCAGCTGGCGCTGGATGACAGCTGGCAGGGATGGTGCGTCGTGACGTTGAGGGTTGTGGTTGCGGTGGTGGCACGAGTGGTAAAACTTCACCAGGCTCAAACTGATAGTTGTCTTGGAGTTGGCCATGTGCATGATGCACATGGTTTCAAACCTGACAGTCATGCCGGCCAAGTGGTGCACACAAAGTGGTCATGAAGGCATGGCTGGCAAACAGCCTATGGGCGGGCGGTGAGCCGGCCCCGGTTACAAGTGGCCGGGATGCAACGCTTGGTGTCCGAGGTGCTGGGGTCACCATAGCGGGCAAGCCTTCCAGTGCACTTTGAGAATGCCGCTTTCGATCCCGAATGGGTCGAGAAGCGGCCGCTGGCGGATGGCCCACCGCCCCAACGGGCCGGGCGGGCCTGACGGGCACAACGGCTTTGACGGGCTTCGGGATTCACGGGATTGACGGGCTCGACGGCCTCAACCTAACGGGTTGACGGGCAGGTTTTACCGCAATCATACTTCGATAGAAAAATAAACAGACAGAAGGATAGACAGATAGATTGATAGATGACAGGCAATTAGACTGAGATTTAGATAGATAGGAGACAGGTAGGTAGCTAGATGGATGGATGGGTGGCTAGGCCGGTAGATGGGGCTACATTACATTAGATAGATGGACCGAGACAGACAAAAGAAATTGATATAGGTCGGTAGTACAGTAGACGGAAAGAAAGACGGGTAGGTAATGGACAGATGGATGGCTAGATAAATTGACAGATACACACATAGAGAGATACGTAGAGCAAATAGCTGGAGAGATATGAGTAGATTAGATTAAACAAATTGTTTGGCAAACGCGCAGATGCGTAGATGGACAGACGGATGGACAGACAAACAAATAGACAAGCAGATGAATAGGTGCACAGATGAGTAGGCAGGCAGCTGGATAGAGAGAAAAAGAAAAAGCAAAAGGGCCACTGGGCAGGTAAATGGACATGCCGTGCAACGGTAGCTTTGGGCAAGCAATTTGCACGCCGGTCTGTGGCTTCTATCAGGTTTGAACCTGCTCGCCCGTGTCGTGAGCTCCGAGTTTCGGCAGACTGCCTCATGGCCCAAAGTAGCGCACTACACTTTCGACGTGGATGCTCACGCACACCCAGCCGAGCATTGCAGCAAGCAAAACCCAACAAGAATACTCAACCGGCAGCATCAGCAGCAACAACAGCTGATGGAGAACAGCTACACTACGCAGATGCACGCCATCCCACGATTTTCCACGACCATGGCATCCCAACACACAGCCCGACGGCGATGTCACACCGCTGCTGGACATCCAAGCGCCAGCCAGGTCCGGCAAACATACCCGAACTCACCGAGGACAACGGCCCTACATCTGGCAAAGCCCGCTCATGAGGCGGCAGCTTCGAACCACCACACTTCTTACGGCACGGCATTGAAGACTTGGTTCAAAACATGCCCTGCAAGCAAAGATCCTTGAAAGCATGACCTCATGGGTGGCCAGGACACAGAACGAAGATAGTGTTCGCTGGACTTTCCCAGCGCTTCATGACCCACAATACTCAATCGCCTTTGCATACGAGATCCCGGCCCCCAAACAAGGAGGAGCGCGCGTGGGAGACGAGGAGGCCAAGAAGAGCATGGTGGATGCTGGAACGAGAACACGCATTCTCAGGAGCCGAGCTTGCTTCCGCAACAAGGGGAAGCTGCCCAACGGAGCGTTGCAGCGGCTCGCGTCAGAGAGCCGCCCGAAGCTGGCCGCAGCGAAGCCTCGAGAACACCGCCAAGGAGTTGCACACGCTCTAAGGCCTGAGATCAGCAACTGGCGATCGATGCCACAGTGCTGATCGGGCTGCGGACCTGGACAAAAGCTGATGCTTCGTGGTGAGCGCAGCCCCCCAAGGCACGAAGGCCATCACGACGGGGAATGTGATCAATTGGCGAGCATGCAGAAAGCAGAGCCTGCACACTTCCTTCCGCCTGCCACAGCTCCAGGAGGTCACCGACTGCCGCTCCTCTTCATGATGCATCTGAGCGCAGAATGGACAACCGGAAGCGCACCACGGTGGATTCCCGGAGCATCCATGAACGAGAAGTCCAGCACATGTGTTGGCGGATGGGTTGACAAAGTGAAACAAGACGGTACTCACCGAATTTGCAAATCGTTTCTTTCCCAAAGAGAAAATTGGGAGTGTGAAAGTGGCATTTGCACGCAGCCGGCTGAGCCTGAGATCTTAGATGAAAAGGCACCTGTGTCGCAGCAAGCAAGATCGGCCAAGAAAAGAAACGGCCCCTGCCTCATGACGATTGTTTTGGCTTCAGCGCCCTTTGCAGTCTTGGGCGGTGTTGCTGCAACGACACGCGTGGTCAGGCGGACTATATCAACATGATTCCGGAGTACGTCAAGGCGTCGGACATGTTTCTGCGCCAAGTCCAGTAGCATCTATGGTTTGTTTTTGTGTTTTGTGTTTTTACAGGGTGTCGGACGGCAATAACCAAGCCACAATTGCATGTTTTCCAGTGGGCCATTTTTAGTCTGACAGGACGCCGTTTTATGTGAGTCGAGGTTTTTAACGCTTGCGCCACGCTCCCGGCACACTGTCACCGGCGTCCGCTGCGACTACTTCAGTTGGTCTGGGAGGGGGTGGTGTCGTCTTGAGCTGTGGTGCAAGATGCTATCTGCCTCTTGGCCAGATGAATTCGCATCGTGGGCCGAGGCGTCTTTGTTTGGAGATTGGGTTGCTGACTTGTTGGTTGTCACATTGATCTGCTGGTTGTTAACTTGCTGGTGGTCACAAAGATTGTTGGCACCTCGTCTGATTTGTGTGTTGGCGGTTTCTGCACGTGTCTGCTTGGACGGGTGGGCCGGCTGGCGGTTTGGTTGACTGGATGGTTGCCTCGCTGATTTGGTTCGTTGACTGATCGTTTGATCGGTTGCTTGATTGCTTGGTTGAGTGAGTGAGCGATTGAATGAATGAATGGTTGGTTTGTTTCTGCATTAACTGTTTGATCTGGCTGATGTGACTGGATTGACTGATTCTTTATTTGGTTGGTTTACTGGCTGACTCGTTGATTGGTTGGTTGATGAAGGTGATTGGTTGGTTTGATAGATGAACTGGTTGACTGTCGATTGATCGGTTGATTCAGTGAATGAGTGGTTGGTTGATTGCTTGATTGATTGAGTGAAAGAAAAATGAATGAAATGAATGAATGAATGAATGAATGAATGAATGAATGAATGAATGAATGAATGAATGAATGAATGAATGAATGAATGAATGAATGAATGAATGAATGAATGAATGAATGAATGAATGAATGAATGAATGAATGAATGAATGAATGAATGAATGAATGAATGAATGAATGAATGAATGAAAATGAATGGAATGGAATGGAATGGAATGGAATGGAATGGAATGGAATGGAATGGAATGGAATGGAATGGAATGGAATGGAATGGAATGGAATGGAATGAAATGAAATGAAATGAAATGAAATGAAATGAAATGAAATGAAAGAAGCATTCGCCACCTCCGATCGGCCTATCCAGGCCACCACCGCTGTGTTGTCCGATGAAGCTAACGCCTCGCAGGATGCAAGCGCCTCTGAGAGGCCCTCCCCTGATGGCAAAAAGCCGGCCACTGCCACCGTCCGAGTTCGTAGGCCACCGGAAACAACCAAGATCCGCGTTGTCCCAGGTGACGGCGCCTGCTGCTTCCACGCTGTTGCTGCTGGCATCCTTGCCCACGAGCCAACTCGCCAGCCTGTGCCGAATGCCAACATACTGCGAGCGCACACCATCGCCCACATGCGCAAGTACAAGGATAGTTACCTCAAGCTGTGGGACGGCTGTGATGACCGTGACCAGCATATGCAGTCCTTCGATGACTATCTGGTGCGCATGCAGTCGCCGACTGCGTGGGCTGGTTCTCTTGAAATGTTGGCCTGCGCTCGCTCTCAGAAAGTCACAATAGTAGTCGTTGCGGAAAGAGCTGACCTTGCCCCAGTCGCCTTCAATGACAAAAACGGCCTGCGTCGAGTGTACATGTGGCACACTGGCCAGCACTTTGACTTGCTGGAACCTGCACAGGCTGAGGGAGCCATGCCAGACTCTCTCCTTGCCATCAAGACGGAGTCCTCCCACACCCGTTTCCCCCGTGTAGGCGCGTCACGGCCACCGCCTTCGGTTGCGTCCAGTGCTCCGTCCTCGCGCCGCCAAGGGGCAGGCGCCCCTTCAATCGGCTCTACCGCCCCGACTAGTGTGCAGCGCAACGCGCCTGGTCCAAGCTCGGTGTCCATCCATAGCTTCTTCCAGCCCTCCAGCCACGCACCTCGCCACCGTGCCAGCAGTTCAGCCAGCGCCGCTCGGCCAGCTGGCGTGCGCCCGGAGCAGGCAGAACACATGTCGGTTCGACCTCTGTTAGATCTGTCTGCGCAAGTGGCCTCCCCCGCTGGCCGAGACGGCAGTAGCAATGTGCCGGGAAACACCACTGCAGTTGCGCCTGAGGTTTTTAGTGTTGCGCCTGACATGCCTTCCAGCCAGGAACTCCCCACTGAGGATCCACCTGTCCGTCGTGAGACCTATGGGCAGCGGGGCCGCATGCGCCTCATCCAATCTTGGAAGTGCCCTCTCTGCAATTTCTGCACCCCCGTGTCGGGCAAATGGAGCTCCCAGAAGCAAGCCCATGTTGCCGCGTGTCATGCCGGCCAAAGTCGGGCGTTGGATCTCAGTCCCCGCTTGCCTGATCTCCAGCAACCTGCTGAAGGGGAAGGGATCCGATGGCAGTGCCCTTGCTGCCCTCTCGCCATCCTCGACAAGCAAGCAGTCAGCTACGATCAGGCTTACGCTATGCGCCTTAAGCACCACGCCAACGCCCACCCTGATCTCCCTCAGGAGGACTTCAAGGTTGTCGTCCCAAAGGCAACGTGCCAGGCCAACGCTGCCAAGGCCACCCAGGCCGTGCATGCTGCCGCAGTAGCCAAGCGCATTCTCCAGGCCAAGAGCTCGCATCACGAAATCCTCCATGTCACGCTCCCTTGGTATCTCAAGCCATCCAAGAAGCACCGTCGCACCTGCAACCGTGCTGTCTGCCAGCGCTGCGGTGTCTTCGCCGACACCATTGCTCGAGCTGATCAGCACCCGTGCGAGCCACTCACTGCCAGCCGAGGGCCTCAGCG